CTCCCCTGTAACAGGACCCTGCTGCCTGTTTTCAAACAGAGTCAACCCTGACCTAGACCCAGGGTCACCTGGCACTCCAAGCCACAGAAGTGTCTAAATTTCCCATCAGCTAGCGTCAGGTCCCTTCACAGCCCCAACCCTAACCCCAGAGAAGCCAGAGCCTTCTTGCCTACTCTGGCTCTGGTAGGCTTCGGAAGGAAGCTGGGCTTCTGACCCTCTGGCCACCCCCAGGTCTGGCAGGGTCCTCGAGCAGCCAGTGGAAGCAGGGAGCTGGCATGAGAAGAGCAGAATGGGAACCTGAGAGGCTACACAGGTATGGGGGAAGTGAGGAACCCCCTGCCCACCAGTCTAGACAATCAACAGGATCCCACTTGGGGACCCCCATGCATGCTGTTACCATACCCACGTATTGAATGGGCTCTTTGTCTGCCAGACCGTGACCACCTCCTCCCCCTTGTTCCCCACAGGTTTATGCATACATACAAGGACATGGGCACACTGGGACACACACACAGGAACACATGCATGGACATACAGATAGAGATGCACATAGGCTGCCAGACACCCTGCCCCCCCACTCCTCCTCCTTCAACTTGATGGCAGAGTTGCCTCCATCCATCACCCTCTCACCTCTGACCCTGACCCCAGACCTGCACCAGCTGCCCTGCCTTCCTGAAACTCAGGGTGGGGGTGGGCCCTGTCTGGGTCAGTGTGGCTGCTGGAAGGCTTCCCTCACCCCACTCATTCCCAGTCCCCTGTCCAGACAAACCCTCCCAGCCTGTCGGAAGAGGGGTCCCAGGAAGAAGAGGAATGAGGGCCAAATTAGCCATGAAGGGCACCCCTGCTTTGCACCGGGGCCTATGGTTGGGAGTGGGAGGAGACAGCTCCACCCACCGTGCTGGGCTTCAAAGTCAGATGGAAGCCCAATGGACTCTCCAGAAGGCCTCAGGACCCTTGCCGGGAGGGACAGTCAGCTCCACACCCTCCACGGTCCAGTCCCAAGTCCCGACAGTGAGACGCAGACGGTGAGGGGGCAGGCCGACAGACACAGATCAGGTGTAAAGAGCCAGACAACCACAGGAGGATCCAGACAGCCAGTGACAAGCACTCGCAGGGCGGGAGACCCCGACAAATACAGGCCGGCGAGGGGCACAGGCAGACCCAGACAGGCAGACCCAGACAGACACCGAGGGCAAGGGCGGGAATTCTACGCAGACCTCCGTAGACAAAGGGAGACAGACCCCGGGCTGGCCCCCGATAACCCCTCCCCCACATTGTGGGGCGGGGTTGCACTACTCCCGCCCCTCCCCTCCGTGGGAGGCCCCGCCCACCTATCCGGCCCAGCCTCCCTGATTGCTCCGACCAGCGCATCCTTACCGATTTGGGGGAAGACCAACCGCTTGCAGGGACCTTCCTTCTCGGTAGGCAAAGATCATAGCCCTCCGGGAAGCTAGCGGAGAGACAGCGCAGGAGAAAGGGTGCCTTAGGGGGCCCCTGAATGTGGTTAGAGTGCCTCGGACTTGACCTCGCATTCTAGCTTCATAATCACCCAGCACAAAGCCTGTGAGGAGCCTCTGAGAGTTATAAACCAAACTCTCAGAGCATCACCTTCCTCATCGATAAGACGGGCATCCTAATAATATATAAAGAGTTATCATTACTATCTGTGCCCTCCCAGGAGACCCTCCTCCCCAGAGTTCTTGGCATTCTCTCTGCTGGGACCACCAACCCCAAGGCAGGCATTCTTCCTCCGAAGAACTCGGGTGCCTGTGGGGGTAAGGGGGAAGGGCCCCGGGCGCGGCCCACCCACCTCCGGGACCGAAGGGGGCCCTGCTGGTCGGGCGGATGGGCCACGGGGGAGGGCGCCCACCCCGAGCTTCCGACAGGGTTGGGGTCGTGACGGGACCCCGGCCAGGGGACGAGAGGCTGGGCTTTGGGGAAAGGGCTTCACGAGTTGGGAAAATTTAATGCGGCCAGTCTTGCGGGGGTCGGGCTTCGAGGGGCTCAGGTTTGGGGTCAGGTCCTGTGGGGGCGGGCCCTAAGGGGGTTGGGCTCCACGGAGATGGCCTTGGGGACTCCGTAGAGACGCGGTCCGTGGGAGTCTAGGCAGGCGGGTTCCAGAGGAGGGTCCTAGGGGGAGGGGCTCTGTGACTTTGGTCGCTCCTGGGGCTGGCACAATGTGGGGTACCACAGGGTAGGCTTAGGGGCCTGGGGGGAGGTCTTTAGGGGAGCTGCGCTCTTTGAGGACTGGCTTAGGGGACAGGTTTTCTGGGGGTTGAGTTTGAAGGTGGGCTCCATGGGAATCTATATGGGTGGGCTTTAGAGGGAGGGTCCTAGGGCCTGGTAATAGGTGGGTGGGCTTTAAGAGGATGGGTCCTGGGGAGGGGCCAGGGTTGGTGAGTTTAGAGCAGCGGGTGTCCTGGGGCAGGATCTGTGTTGGGGTCTCGGGGGAGGGTGTTGCAGGGCTGTGTTGGCTCAGGCCACCTACAACAGGGACCTTTTAGGGTTTATTTAAGCTTAGCACACTTGGGGCCCCTGATTCACCTTAGGGTTACACTAAGGGGTTCCTTTGGGGCTCCATATTCCCCTGAGTGAAATGGGAGGGGGCTGGGGAATTGAAGGACCCTCTCCAGGTCGCTTCAGAGTCCGTAAACCCAGATAGGGGGCACCGGAGGGAGCAGTCACCCAGCACTTCAAGGCCCCCGCAGGGAGAGACTGGAGGCCCCTTTTACCAGGAGGAAGTGGGGAGGGGGCAGCATCTTGCCACAGTGGGAGGCCAAGCAGCTATTTGCCAGCAGTCTGTTGTGATGTCTGAGGGTGCACCCTTCTTACATCACCAAGGGCCTGAGTTCAGATGCCTGAGACTCTGCAGGAGGGCAGCAGGTGTCTCCTTCGGTCCTCTTGCTTCTCCCTTGTCCAGTGGGCAAGTGGACCTATGGGTGGGCCTGGCAGCAGCCCCAGTGTGGGTCCTGAATTTGCAAAGTGGAGACTCTGGTGACCCCCAAGGGTTGTTGTGGTTCATAAACTGTCCTGCCCAGGAACAGGGTGAGGCTCACAGAAGGTATACATTGTATTAAAATGACTTATCTCTCTGTTGCGTGATGTCCTCTGCACACCCCAGAATAGCGGAGTGGTCAGACACATCTAGAGGCCGCTTGGAGTGGTGCCCTCTGGCCTCAGTCTCCCAAACTGACAAATGGGGTTTGCATCTTCCAGCTCCCTTTTGAGTAAAGCCCAGCTCCCAGTACTGCTACATCCATGCAACAAAGTCTACATAAATACCTACCATTACAACTACTGGAGCACACAGTTGGCACCTACTGTTTGCTGACTTAATGAGTCAATAGGTCCCTCCCTCCCTCACCTCTCTGGTTTCCTGCCCCCACTCCCCCACCCCAGAAGTTGCCAAGGGCCTGGGGGAACATTCAACCTGTCGGTGAGTTTGGGCAGCTCAGGCAAACCATCGACCGTTGAGTGGACCCCGAGGCCTGGAACTGCCGTCCACCCATTGTGACTCCCCACTTTCCAGATCTGGGGCCAGGTCCTACCCGAGCACATCCCCTCCTTTAGGCCACAGCGAAGGTCACAATCAACATTCATTGTTGTCGGTGGGTTGTGAGAACAGAAGCCAGACCCACCGAGGGATGAATGTCACTGTGGCTGGGCCGCACACAGCCTGAGGGGAGTGGGCTGGGGGACAAGACCCACCATGAGTTCCCCCAAAGTTGCTCAGCCTGTACCTCACCCCGACCCCAGCCTCTCACTGCTTGGGAAAGGCTGGTGCCTGGGACCCTGATGGACACAGCTGGATTTGGGGAAGAGATCCTGGAGGGTTGGGGTGGGGTTGGGGGGTGACTGGGCAGCAGAAAAACCTTTCTAAAAGGGAATGATGAGTCTGTTCCCTAAGGGCTCCACAAAATGCTTCTTGAATGAATGAGGGTGGGTAGGTGGTGTGGACCCACTTCTCTGTGTCCAGGTCCTGGCCTCAGCTTTCTCACCCTCCTTGCACCAACCCTCCATCGCCCACGTAGCTAGCACCTTGGTGCTGGCTGATGCCGCCACCTGCATATCTGTGCCCCACCTGGGTGACTCCCCACCATTCTCAGACTGAGTTGAGGTCTCATTGAGGGAGGGAGGATCAAGGCTGGAGTGAGTGCTAGGGTCCCCTCATTAGCCCAACCTGTGCCTCTGTTGTCCCCAAACTCCCCATCTCACCCCCTCACCACCCCAGGACAGACCAGGGCCAGCACCTAGCCTCTGGGATCCAGTAATTAGACAGGGGAGGCAGGCTTTGTGTTAGTCTTTGTGAATAACCCTAAGGGCAGGTGGCTTCATACCTCAGTCTGTTCATCCATTAATAGAGGTTCCATTGAGACAATGGGTGTGAAAGCACCCTGAGGGAGCCCAGAGCTAAAAGCCTTGGTCCCATTAGCCCGGTACCATCCCCCTTTCAGCACTGTCTGGAGAATCAGCAGCTCCCCCTCTCCCCAAAAGGCCCAGGGGCCTGGCCCTTCCCCTAGCCTAAGGGAAGGAAGGAAGCAGTTACTAAGTTACAGGTTACATCAATGCTTGTCTTGAGGGTGGGTCTTCCACCCTCCCCCTCAAAACCCTGTGGGGCAGGGTGGCTGACCTCCTCCAAGGAGATGTGGTGGAGGATAGCCCTTCCAATGCCCTCTGGGTGGGGTATGTGGCTCCAAATTGCAGGTGCCCCCTGCAGACTGTGTCCTGTCATCCCCCCTTGCCCCACTCAGAGACCATACAACTCTTTGTCAGGTGCATTTATAGGGAGCGACAGCTAGCCCCCCTGTGACGATAAGGAATCTCCCAGGGCCTGTTCCCTCCCCTTCAAAACCCCTTGGAGCTGTAAGGAGGGAACTGACAGCCCAGACTCCTAGGCTCCAGAGGGGGAAAGGGAGGGGCAGGGAGGAAGGGAAGGACAAGCCTAGGGCAGGCAGGGTTCTTCTCTCTCTGCCCCTCTGCCTGGCACTTGTGACCCAGCCATGGGGACCTTCAACCTGTGGACAGATTACCTGGGTTTGGCACGTCTGGTGGGGGCTCTGCGTGGGGAAGAAGAGCCTGAGACCAAACTAGACTCCCAGCCAGAACCAACGCCAGGACCAGGGGATCAGAGGTCCAGCCCGGAACCTTCGCCAGGTCCAGAACGCCTATGCTCTTTCTGCAAACACAACGGCGAGTCCCGGGCCATCTACCAGTCCCACATGCTCAAGGATGAGGCAGGCCGGGTGCTGTGCCCCATACTTCGTGACTACGTGTGCCCCCAGTGTGGTGCCACACAAGATCGTGCCCACACCCGCCGCTTCTGCCCACTCACTGGCCAAGGCTACACCTCTGTCTACAGCTGCACCACCCGCAACTCCGCAGGCAAGAAGTTGGCCCGGCCTGACAAGGCGAGGACACAGGATTCTGGTCACCGCAGAAGAGGAGGAGCAGCAGCAGCAGGAGGAGCCAGTGCAGGTGGCTGGGGAAATCTGCTGTGGAGGGGGACCTTCTTCTTTTAAGTGGAATTAACCCAAGTTCCTACTTCAGAGGGTTGGGGAGAATCAGTGTAGAAACCTTAGAAAAGTATTTCAGAAGTGTGGCCCAATGTGGATAAACTGGGGGCTGACTGTGCTGTGTGGTCTTGGGCAAGGGATTCACCCTCTTTGGGCCCTTGCAGAAAATGCCATCCTTTTCCAGGCATAGGTGACCTGGCAGGGAAGCCAGGTGGACTAGCAAACAGTGAGGTCTGGGGACAGGTACAGCAGGGGCTTAACACTGCTTGGCACTGAGCAGCTGTGTGGCCTGAGAGAAGCTGCTCAGACTCTCTGAACCCTACCCAGCTTCCTTATTTCTTCACTCATTTGCCAGTACTTTGTTTGCCATTCTGTGCCAAGCACTGGCCTGGGCCAGTGGTAGACAAAGTAGATGAAAAGCAGCATTTAAAACACAGGGCACTGAACAGGGAAGTCTAGAGAAAACACCTGATCCAGATGAGTGAGTTCAGGAGGAATTCTTGGAGGAAGTGACTTTAGGAAGCCTAAATCAGTTTGGTGGGGAGTTGGAAGTGTGGCCCAGGCATTGGGGCTTGTTTAGGAACTTAGGGATGGACTTAGGGATGCTGGAGGAGGAGATGTCAGAGATTTTGGGACAGCCAAGGGGCCTATAGGGCCTTGTAAGTCACATTAAAGAGTTTGGACTTGGGCACTAATAGGGAGCCACAAAAGAGGCAAGACCAGGTCTGTGTGTTGAGTGTGTTAGGACATTGGCTAAGCAGCTGGACCATGGGAATGGATTTGAGAGTGTTGGAAGAGGCACTGTTGAGAGTGTTGGTTCTCCAGGCAGAGGTATTCCAAGTAGGCTGTAGGGAATGGCCCAGCAGTCCCCAGTCAAATGTCGGACTGGAGGGGAGCCCCATGAATTTTCCATGTGGGGAGCAGCCCAGGAGAGCATTTGGGGCTGTAGCTTAGGAGAGACCTATAGCTGGAGCCCCCCTCAGGTCTAAACATGCTTTGCTCACCTACGTGGCCCACCATGTGAGGTCACTCCGATCTTGCTCATCAAATGGGGATTTCGATTCTGCATGTTTGGTTTGGGTAAAGCTTGAGCACTTGCATTTCTAACCAGCTTCCATGAGCCTGCTATGCTTCTGGACCATGGACCATGCAGGCTTTGGGTAGTTCAGGCTTAAACTAGCAGCAGTTATCATTATAGAAGCAAAAGACCTCAGCTTCTGTGGGATCTTAAAGGACAAATCCATTTTAGCGACATTATGCGGTAGTCAGCCAACAGAGGAGGGGGGTCTAATCGGGGTGGTGTTGCTGCCTATTTGGGTACTGTAGGGAGGTACCCACCACCTCCCCACCAGACTGTGGGTTCCTTGAGGGTGGTGAGCCCACAGGAGGACCCCACCCTACCTCCTATAGCTACGAAGTGAATATTTGTTAATAATGAGAGACCACCTCCATAAGATACTATGCCTGTGAGGTTTGGTGAGGTGCAACTTGGAGGCACAGGAAATTTAAGGGACACATAGAAATGATGGTCTCAGAATCCTTTCCCCTTAATTCTGAGGGAGCAGGAAAACTCATGTCCCAGGATATGGAGTGAAAGGGTAAGGGAGCCCGCACTTGGTGGGGAAGGGCTGCCTGAGGCGGGCCTGCCTGGTAACACTCAAGGTGTCACAAATTCGGGATCCTGGAGCCCTATGGCCATGAGAGGGCAGCACTGCAGGCCAGAGGTGGAGTTTTTGCGCTCTGTCCAGTTCTGGGTTTCACCTCGGCTTTCCATAGTCCAAGAATGTGACTTGAGTGCTATTCCACCATCAGCCTCCGGGTGGCGCCAGAGCCCCACCAGCCCTGCAGGTTGAACTGCTACTTTGGCCGTAGGACTCGTTGCCTATTACTGTTTTTCTCCTCCCCCATCCATTTTTAAAACCCAGGTTCCAAAGGTGCCAGGAAGTCGTCTGGACCTTCACCCTCTTTCTGCTGCCCCTCCACTTCTGCCTAGGAGGCAGGTGCAGGGAGGACATCTGGGATGCTGCCTTCCCTGGCCTGGGGACGCTGACTCCCTGAAGGCTGGATTTCCAAGATGTCTCTGGCCAGGACCCCCCTCTGAACCGTTCCCCCAGCCTGGGGACTTGAGTAAGGAAGCAGGGTCTGGAAATACTGCCAAAAGAGCCCTGTGAGGAAGGAGGTGGTCCTGGGACACCCCTGCCCTTCCTCCCCAACACAGGGTACCCAGTCAGTGCTCAATAAATGCTAATGAATGGATCAAGGGTCTGATGGGGCTGGTCTTGAGACCCTAGCTGGAACAGCTCCTCTCTCCTGGCTCTGTTAGCCCGGGCACATTACTCTGGTTCCCACTTTCCTGACTGCTGTTTGGATCTTGGCTCACCTGGGGCACTCAGGTGAACTGAGAAAAGGGAGTGGGCACCACAGGGTGGCTGTAGGGCCTTGAGGGGTGGCCCCTTTCCTGACACTTCTGGGCACAACCTTGCTGTTGGGTTAGCACATTAGGCACTTTCTCTGACATCTGGTGTTTTCAAACTCCCTTTCACCCAGCCCTCACATTATCAACAGGCCAAATAGGTGGAATCCTGCACACTGGGGGCAGGGGCCTGATTTAAGGGGGGAAATGGGTAGACAATTAGACCAAGCCTCTCCCCCCACACTGTCCTCACCAAAGAGACCCTCTGTGAATGTTTACATCACCACATAGTGTCCCAGCAACTTGGGGCCATGGAGTCACATGCCAGGCCTTTCTGGGGTGTCGGAAAGGAGTGGGACTATATCCTGTGGTGGGCAGGCCAGCCCAGGCCTTGCCCAAGGGTACTGTGGAGGTGATTTGGGTCTGCTTGGGCAAGAGTGGGAAAGATACAGAGCCCTCCCCACCCAGACATTGTGATCTGGTTTTCCCGGGGGGCTGTATTCAGAGGAACCCCCAACCCTGTCTGTCTCCTCCATCACCAGAGCTTGGTTCCCTGGCATCCAGGGAGCAGCAGATGGCCACAGTCCTTCCCTAAGCCAAGGGCTGCCCTCCATCCCCAACCCACACAGTTGGTCTCTCTCCCAGGGTTGGGTGGAGGCAGGATGGACTTTGCAGGTCCCCCCCTGCCCTTGAACTGGGACCTGAGGCCACCCAGGGGGAAAGCCAGGGATGGAAGCCTGACCTTGAAGACAGCCTGCTGTCTAGGCTTCGAGGGGAGAAAGGAGGACAGACGCAGAGGGGTGGCCTCAGGGATCTTCAAACTGAATTGGGGACATAACATCCCAGCTGCTGAAAACTGCTAAGGACATAAGCCAGAGCTTCGGGGGTTTGGACCCCAAGGGATGGATGAACTAGCATGTCCTGGAGGGGTCAAGGAAGGTGGTATCAGGACTCTGATTTGACTTGCTCCCCTCCTGAACGGGGCCTCCCAGGGTGTAAGAAGGCAGTGGGAAGGGTTATGGTTAGATGGTCCTAGGAGTTTGACCGTGGAGGCCACAGGCAAAGCCACTAATAAAGGAGCGGGTTTGGTCCACTTGGTCAGGCTTGTGTGGGACCAGGTGTGCAGTGACTGCCTTTGGCATCCTGTCAGAATCAACAGCCCCCCAAGACTGTCTCCTTCCAGGCTGGGGCTTCAAAGCAGCTTATCCCACAGAGAACAGACAGGGCCACTGAGTGCTGAAAATAACTCTCCAGTGGGCTCACAACCTCACAGAAGCTGGTGTGTATGAATAGTGTGAATGCCACACCCTTGGGAACTTGTGAGGATCCCCCCTGACCTGTGTCCCAGCAGTAACCCTACTTGCCTTCCTAGAGAGGATGGGAGTGAAAGGAGAAAGGCGGTTAGGGAGATTTGTGGGCAGAACATCAAGGAGCCCCAAGTCTTCAACCCCCAAATGACGGGTCTTGGGACCTCATTAGGGAATCATTTATTAATGGTCTTCCTGAAATAAATTGCATGGAAATCCAGGGAAAGGCAAACATACAGCCAACAAAGGGAGCTCTTTTCTCCTCCAGCAAGAAACAAATTCTGAACCTGCCATAACCTTAGCTAAGGAGCCAAAATTTGCAAACTCAGATAAACATCTGGGTGGCTCTGCACCCTGCTCATGGGGCCTCCGCCTGCCTCCACCTCCCACTGCAGCCTCAGCCTCTGGAGGAACAGGTTTCCTCCCCACACAGGCCCCAGAGGGAGGCTGCTAACTCCAGTGGGATTGAAAGGCAGTCTCTGGAGCCCGGTAGGACCTGCTGGAGAATCTTGGGGGTAACAAAACACCAGGCACAACATCAGGGACTGCAGGCTTTCCGGGGTGTGCTGAGAGATTGTTGTCAGCTTTATGGCAGGAACATCAGGCACTTCCGGGGTCAGGGTGTGAACAAAACAGCAAATCCACGGGAGGGAGAGGCACTGCACATGTGGTCCCCCAGCTTCCACATTTGGAAACATCTATAAGTCACTCCAGGATTGCTCCCCTCGAGGGAGAGTCCCAGCCCCCTTTGATGTGTAGGGCATGGGGGCTTTCCCTGCAGACTTGGCCTTCCTGTAGTTGAGGCGCTTGAATGCTTCCAGGTCCCGGTGGGCATTCATGATCAGCCGGCTGCACGAAAATGCTGGCATTGACTATGAACCAGAGCAGGATGCACCACACACTCCAGCTCACGCAGGTTCGCACACTCACAGGTCACACATGCAGGCTCACACATTCTCAGAGGCACATTCACACAGACACACGTGCACAATCAGAATCAACCTGTTACAGAGTTGACTGTTGACTACCCCAGCCCCTCTCTGGGACCTAACAGTTCTATAAAGGATGGGCCTAAGCCATAACAGGTGAGGGCCAGGAGTAATACTTTCTAGAGGCTGCTGCTGGGTGGCCTCCTTGCTGTCCTCTGGTTCCCCCCAGCCCCATTCTCCCTGGGCCCATCCCACTGCTTGTCCTGTCCACCCCTTGTGGATCCAAGTTCAGCTCTTACTTCAGGTTGGACAGCTCGACAATGAGGCCGCGCACAGTATCTGTTGCGTCCTCCATCCTGGTAACTTCGCATGGCTGGATCCCCTTGTGGGTCCTGGAGGGAAAGGAAGACAAGAGGCCTGACCTCAGCAGACAGCTCCATCAAACAACATTTGAGGGCTTCTGCTGGGCCCTCAGCTGTCTGCTTTTCCAGATACTTAGCATCATGGGCAGAGCTCTTATGGCCAACTCAGCTGGATCAACTGCCAAAAGCACACCCAGAGTCCAGCCCCCTCTTCTCCCCAGCACAGCCACCCTCGAGGAGCTGTTGCCAGGAGCTCCCTGGATCCCCAGCTCCTGCCCCTACAGCCTCCCGTGCAGCAAGGGGTGGAGGGCTGTGAAAATGGAGACCTGGCTTACTGAACTGTCTGCTGGCATCTCCAGACCCCATCTCTTACTTCTAGTCCCCCTCTCCCCGCTCCAGCCACACTGAGTTCCTGGCCTTTCCTTGAGCACCTCTTGGGGTGTTGGAATGTTCTTTCCCAAATGTCTCCTCCTTGAGGGGTGGGGGAGCTGGACTTCCCTGATCAGTGAGTTAAAATTTTAACCCCTTCCCCACTGTCTTTCTGTCCCTAACACTCTGCCTTCTAATTTTTTTGTCTCCCTTCCTGCCTGCCCCGCCCAACACACACTAGATTGTAGCCTTGTGCTGCACCCTGTCCCATGCGGCCTGCCCTGTGCCCAGAGCGGTTCCTGGGAGAGCCAGCACAGGATGGCGTGAGCATCTGTGGGAGGAGTGGCTGCACCGCAGCACCCACAGGCCACACATGTTAGATCCAGTGGGTGCTGGCAGAGGGTCATCCTCTGGGCCTCTGGTCAATAGCACTTCATGAAGCCTACTACACCCTTGACTTGGCAGAACCTCCCAGGCTGTCACCACGGAATCTCTAGTTCCACTCCACCTGCCTCAGTCACCCAAGATGACTGGCTGACCCCGGCCTTAGCTTCTTTTGTGTCTTACTCACCATGAGCCATTGACCCCAGGGCCTGCCCTGGGAGTCTTCCAGATGTCCATGTGGGGTCACAATGGCCCAGTGAGGCCATCAGATATTCAGACATGACTCCCCCTCCTCTTTGCTCAAACAGTGGTAGGGCTACTTTCACAAAACTGCCCCTAGTCCTTGTGCAGTGTGTGTGTGTGTTCAAGTGGTGCAACAGGTACTAGTGACGAGTGCAAGGGAAGAAGGTAAAAACACTCTACCTCACATCTTGAGGAGAAACAGAAAACCTTCTCAAGGGCTGCACCCCTAGCCCCTCCTCCATGCTTGCTGGACAGAAACAGAAACTTTACTACAAATAATTGATAAGGCACCGCCTCTGCAGAGGCGCCTGTTCCAGTAGGAGGTTACAGGAGAGGATGGCGCCCAGTGCTTGCCCCTCGCAGGGCTGGCAGAAGGGACAGGACAGAAGTGATGGACTGAGGGAGGCTCTGGGGATAAGGGGAGAGGACACCCCTGTCCCTCCCTCACACATACACACTCCTCGGGTAGAGGGATGGTGCACCTGGTGGCCTGCAGGAGAGAGAAAGTGGCCTATTCCGGGGCACAGAGCCAAGTGGGAAGTGAGGACACAGGACAGGTCAGAAGCCCTGGAGAGCCCACTCTGCCCAACCTGGGACCACCCAAGATCTACCAAGCCAGTGGTTCTTAGCCATCCCACTCTGAGGAGACTCTGGGAAAGTTCTGGACCCCCTCTTCAGAAAAATGCACATACCGAACCCAAACAACCCGCAGAACCAGGGACACAACCCCGGGGCTCCTGGGAAGAGACTCTTGTTTGGGGACAGATGGCTGCTCACCAGTTTTCCACTTGCGGGGAGCCGGAGACACACGCAGTTGGGAAGACAGGGCTCAGCTCCCTTACAGGCCTGAAGGAAGCAAGGCCCAGTGAGGAACAGCCAGGGCCCCTTCTTGCCCCTTATCAGCAACATGGAAGCTCCCAGGGGTGGTGGGAGAGAAAGCATGGGAGCTCCAGTGCCAGAAAAGCAGGGACATTCCCCCTCGGAAGGGAGGACTCACTCCAAGGCAAGGGTCTTGGGGTGGCTACCTTGGCTGGGCCATGGTGAGGGGGCTTCCATCAGTACCTAGGCTGGTGCCAGGCCAGCAAGGGCCCTCCACGCTCCCTGCAGGAAACTGAAAAGAGAGAGCACATGTGTGAACAGTCCAGCTGTGTGAGCCCTGCACAGGGAAGGAAAGAAAAGTCACGCAGGGAATGTTTCCCTTCCCCTAGCCACGCCATGTGAGGCTGGAACTCCTGAAGAAGAAAAGTGATGGCTAGACCTGGGGGCCACTAGCCAGGGCTGCTCTTGCCCTCCCCACCCCTGAAAGAGCATACAGGGTAACCACTGGGCCTGCACTTTCCAACAGGCTGATCCATGCCCAGGGGTGGCTGTGTCCACACGTTCTCTCTTCCTGACGACTGAGGTGCCACACTGTATCCTGCACACCCCATGGTACCTAGAAGGGTGCAGAGAAGACCCCTAGGGGTGATGACTATAGTAAGGTGGGCACTGGTATCAAGGGGAAAGAGGTCAGCCACTCATTTTGTCAGGAAAAAAATGTAAATATAATGCCAAAGAAAAATTCATAAATAATAGGGGGCAGAGCCAGATAACCCCGAGAATTTCAAGTCTCTAAATGTCAACAGTGGTTTAATTTTGTGGAAAATGTCAGGCTCAATCACAGAGGTGACGTACATCCCTTGGGAAGAGGAAAAGAGGCTGCAGTGGGGTGGCCTGCCCAGGGCCTCTTCTAAGGAGACCGAGTCCTGGGGTTGGAGAGGGGCCTGTTCTAGGGACATCTCCCCCTGATGGGGATGGGGCCAGGGTGAAAGGTTGAGCTACACTAGCAAAGAGGTGCCTGAACCACATGAAAAACTGCCTGCAGCCCAGCAGTTCACCTGGGGACATTTTGGTTGTCATGACTAGGGGTAAAGTTGCTACTGGCATCTGGTGGGTGGAGGCCAGAGATGCTGTTCAATACCCCACAGTGCACAGGACAGTCCCCACCAGAGAGCACTCTGGCCGTAGATGCCAGTGGTGCCAGTTGGGATCTCTGCTGTAGACAGTGCAGGGTCTCCCGGGATCTGGCTGTTTCATGTAGGCAACTGACTTAAAATACAATTCAATGTCACATATTCCTCAAACCGACTGCACTGTTGTTGGCCGTGAGGAATATTCTCCCACCCACCAGGACTGTGTAAATGTTTGTCATGACAAAAGTGGTCCTGAACATCCAGGGTCACAGCTGCAGGCCACTGCAAAGGACCTGGGAACCAGCTTTTTATATGATGCTCCTTAAACGGCATATAGAGGCTCCACCAGCTCTGAGGTATCACATCCCAAGAGAGCTGTTTTGAGAAGAAAACACCAAATCCTCCTGTGAGGAGACCTGGGTTTGAAACTGGTGACGCTGGCTAACCTCTTGTGTTACAACCACTGTGTAACCTCTGTGAGTCTGAATGGCCTTCTCTGAAATGGTGCCGACGGCTGTGCCCGCTGAGGCTGCGGGCCAGTCAGGAGGAGGCAGTGCTGCTGCTCTGTGTCCAGGGCCCCTACCCACTTGGCTTTCCTGCCAAAGGCCATCCAGAATCTTTCCTTGGGAATTTGCTGGTGCCTGGGTCACCCCGACTTGTTCAGGAACGCCCAATATCAAAACAAAACTCGTCCAGGCATTGGCAGCCTTGTCAGGGCAGAGCCGACTGCCCCGGAGGACCTGTCAGGTTGGACCGCCCGGCTGTCGGCCCAGGAGCCCTGCACTGCTGACTCCCTGCTGTTTTCCAAGGCGAGGCGCTGGCAGCCTGTCTGGCAGCCTGTCCAGAAGCTCCCTCTTTGGCCTGCTGGATGCCACCAGAAGTCCCAACTGCTTCCCCAGCCTTCTTAGTCAATGCCAGGGACTGGGAGTAACTTAGTAATGAGGAGTTCACATTTTTCAAGATATGAGGCCCCAATTCTAAAATTTCAGCCAGCCCAGCAGTGAACGCCCACCCATCCAGGCAATCATGTTCTGACCCTGCACTGTGACCTACTTTCCATTATCTTGCTTGTCTGGTGATCACCGAACCGGCAGCCCAAGGAGCCAGGGCCCACATGGGGTGGGAAGGGGGAGCAGGGGGCAGGGCTGGGTCTGAAGTCACCACACAGCTGAACATTTTGGAGGGCCAAAAATGCCCCCTGGCTGTCCCCAGGGAAGGCAGTGCAATGGAGACCCACACTGGCTCCCCCAGCCATGTTCCCCTCCACACTGGGAACAGCTGGCTTTCTTCAGCTGGGCACCAGACGAAGTCCCGTTGCTTGTGTTTTGGAGCTGTGTCACATGAGACTCTCTAAGTTCCAAAATGATAGGGTACAAAAATGCTCACTCTGGGAGAGGCCAGTGGGGACAGTGCTGCCACAAACCTTGAGTGGGCAGGGATCCCGCCTGATGTCTTCATGCCTGACACAAGCAGGCTCTTGACAAGCATGTATTGAATCAATTTTTGAAAAAACATCTCAACAGAGACAGCTGAAAAAACATGCCAACGTTTGTCAAGGGAGTTGGGCTCCACATTCTGGGACAGAGTGGCTGAGGCGCAGCTGCAGGATCAGGCCGACCTGGACACAGACCCAGCCTCCTACCCTCCTGGCGGTGTCAACTCTGGCAGGCACCCAACCTCCTTCAGCCTCTCATCCTCGCCCACCAGGACCACCCACCTCCCAGAGCAACACTGCAAAGCACATAACCCAGCTCAGGTTGTGTTACTAGCCAGTGACATGGAGCTTCCCCTAGGAGTGAGGCCGAAGCAAAGCTGTCACCTGCCCTGACAGGTGAATGCCATGGCTGGCAGAGACTCATTAGGCAACTTTCCCCTGCCTGTCAGGCAGGAGATCCCTGAAGGATGCAACGTTTCTACAAAATCCAGCAGAAAAACAAAACTCCATGCCTATGTTTGGGACAGGTCCCTCATGGAAAAGCAGGTCTTTCCTTTCTGGAAAATCAGACTCCAACCCCCTGAAGCTGCAACTCAGATCCCTACACTTGCCTGCCACATAAACAGACCACCACATGCCCAATCTTCCCCTTCCAATGGACGGTTTAGGTGAGGGCCTGTGGACACTGGCACCTGCCCTGGGATGGGCTGGCTGTACTTAAGGATGCTTTTTTTTAATTTAAGAGTTTATCCATTTATTTTCAGAGAGGGAAGGGAGGGAGAAAGAGAAAGAGAAAGATCAATGTGCGGATGCTGCAACCCAGGCATGTGCCCTGACTGGGATTAAGGATGCTCTTACCTGCTCATTTGGTGCTCCAAAGTTGGTGGCTTCCAGGGCATCCTTTATCTGGCTGTCTGGCAGGAAGTCGAGTTCCATGGCTGGGAACCCCTCTAACATGGCCTGGTCTGTAGAGTCAGGAGCATGCTTGGGCTGGCCTGCTGGGTCTGTGGGGGCACCTGGGCCACCCTGGTGGGCCCTGGCATCCCGGGGAGGAGCATCCACTGCTTCTCTGTGCAATGGAGCAGAAGCTCCAAGGCACAGACTGAGCCCCCCAAGGTCTTGTTCATGGCTCTGGCTACCTAACTCTGCTGCCTTTTCACCCAAAGTCTGTGATAGCAAAGGCAGTGCACACATACTTCCCAGCCCTTCTTGATCCCGGCCTGTCTGATCAACAACTGGGCCCATTTCTGAGGCTACAGGACTGGAATCTCTAGCACAAATTGTGGGCTCCTGGATCACATAAGCCCGAGCCAGGGAGGCTGCAGGGCTGCCCAGGATATCACCAGGGGGCTCAGTTTCCTGACCTGCCTCCCCTCTGCCTCCTGTGGTCTCCCTGGTGAGAGGTGTACCTCTGAGCAGGGCCCCACTATGGCCTCCATCAGGGGCCTTCTTGTTGGGAGAGGTAGGTGCCCTGGTGTCAGCCTTCCCACCTGGCCCAGCCACCTCCAGAGCCCTCTGTTCTGGGCCAGTGGGGTCTGTGGCCACATCTGTCATGACAGTGATCCTAAGGGAGGGGTGTCTTGGGCTGCTACAGCTCCCTTCTGCTTCCCTGCCAGCCCTGCTGAGTGTCTGCATGGGGTCAGTGGGGACCTGGGCCGCAGATCCAGGCTCTAAGTCCCAAGTGGCCAGGCCTAGGGCACTCTCTCCTTTCTCCTGCTCAACCCCTGCTCCTCCTTGGGCACCTTCCTCCTGTGGAGCTCCTCGGTCGGGCTCCTGCTCTTCAGCACCATTGCTTGGTAGATGCCCTTTCTGGCTGAGATCACCTGGAATCCCACCCGCCTCTGTGCCTCCACCACCTGGCAAGTTTATCCCTTGCTCCAATAGGTAGTTCTGGCCGGCTCTCTCTGAGGCCAAGGGCACCATCCCCCATTCTGGAGAAACATCACTGGAGACCTCAGACTGAGAATCCCCCTTGCTGGACACAGGTATTACAGGGTTTTGGACGCTGCGCCTGGAGTGGGTGCCGTCTGCCTGGGTCTGGCCTCTTGGCACCCTGGCCTCCCAGACAGTGAGCCCAGGGGACTCCTCCCATGACTGGCTTCCTGCCTGCTGGGCGCTGGGCTCTGGTGCTGTTTTCTGTGTAGAGAGAAAGACTCAGCCTCAGGTCTTCAGTAATCAACCACTTTGAATATTTTTCTAGTTGTTACTGCTCTTGTACAGACTCAGATACTGCACAGACACCAGAAGAGATCAGTACAGTAATCCTCCCTTATCCATGGGGGATGCATTCCAAGACCCCAGTGGATGCCTGAAGCTGTGGATCGTACTGAACGCTGTATGTAGTATGTTTTTTCCTATACACATATACCTATGATAAAGTTTAACTTTTAAATTAGGCACAGTAAGAGATTAACAACAGTAATTAATGAAATAAGACTGTAATAAAAGTTATGTGAATGGCTTTGGGGCCATTGCTGAGTAAAATAAGGGTTCCTTGAGTGCAAGCACTGAGATACCACAACAGTCAATCTGACAACTGAAACGGCTCTCAGTGACGAGCCGGAGGGGAGCATGTGTGGGGTGGAGACACTGACAAAGGGACGATTCACATCCCAGGCAGGACTGCGTGAGATTTCATCACACCACTCAGAACGGCACACAATTTAAAACTTACGAATTGTTTATTTCTGGAACTTTCCATTTAATATTTTTGGACAGTGGCTGACCATAGGTAATTAAAACCACAGAAACTGTGGTTTTGCACAGAACTGTGCATAAGTGGGGGAACTACTGTACTAGTACAGAGCAGAGCTTTGTGGCAGGGGTTGGAGGGGGAAGCAGAAGCACGGGAACCCTCCTTTTCCACAGCTCCTTCTTCCCACCAGCACCAGGAATGTGGAGATCAAGGATATAAATATCAAGGGGGCCTGTGGGTCACACCAATGTCAGCTGCCTGGACGGGCGAGAACTGTACTTATGTGAGATGATACCACTGGGGGAAGCTGGGAGAGGAAACACCAGGACCCCTCTGTGCTGTTTTGTTTTTAAATTGTGGTATGATGCACACAATGCAAGATTCACCACCTTAACCAACTGACAAGTGCACAGTTCAGTGGCATTAGGTACATTCACACTATTATGCAACCACCACCATCACTGGTCCCCAGAACGCCTTCACCTTGTACAACTGAAGCTCTATCCCCATTAAATACTGTATTTTGCCTAAATTTTTTTAGGGAAAAATAAGAATATGCACTATATGTGGGATAACGATTACATGCCATGGGCATAATAATACAGTGTACAACACACACAAAAATGTGGGTGCACATTACACACGACAGAATATAGTACTCATTCCCCACTCCCCCTCCCTCCAGCCCCTCATGTACTACTGTCTTTATGAGTTTGACTAATCTGGGGCCTCATGTAAGTAGAATTGCAGGCTACTTGTTGCTTTGTGAAGGGCTCGTTTCATTAGCATAATGTCCTCCAGATTCATCCACGTTGCTGTGGCAGTATATCCTTCCTTTGTAAGGCTGAACAATATTCTACTATGTGGATATACCATATTTTGTTTATCCATTCACCCATCAATGGACACTTGGGTCCATACTGTCTTTGTAACTTCCTATAAATCTTTAATTATTTCAATATAAAATGTTTAAAAAGAGTGAGAGAGAGAAATGAAAAGTCCCTAAGGGAGGAGGATAGGTGGGGGTGGAAGCGGGTATAAGGGGGATAAATGGTAATGGGAATTAAAAAAACTATTTTTTAAAAAGTTCCTAAGTATGGTGGGAGATGACCAGAGCAGGCTGAGAGAGACGATGTTCCAGCTGGGACATGGAGGGAGCATCATCCTTAGGTAGATGGCAGCCCGATCCCTCCAGGTGCTCAGGCCTAAACCTGTGGAGTCACTGCAGCCCAGATCTCCCCTGACTCTAGATGCACGTATCTGACATTTCTGCCTGGCATTTCCCGTCATGTCAAATGTGACACAACCAACACCAGCTCTTGAGCATCTCCTCAGAGTCCCCTGTCTCAACTAGCAGCAACTCCATCCTTCAAGCTACTTATTTAGGCCCCCAACAATGGAGTAAACCCAATATTTTGCTTCCTTTCACACCTGTGCCATCAGGTCTCCCTCCAAACTGGACTGCAAATAAATTCAATACCTAGGGACTAAGGCTGGCATTCGTGGGTGCCTATAAACAGCAGCTGTTGCCCCACTTCTTTTGTACAGTTATCAGCGCCAGGGCAGAGGGAGACAACTCCTCCACAATGACCTCCCTGCACCTTAAGGCCAACCTTTCCAGGAGGGTCTGCACTGCAAATGTCAGATCACTGGAGGTTGTGGCATGTCAATACTGCTTCAGTTTAGTCACCGGCAACCAGCCTGCTGAGCTGCACACAGCCTTTTCTAAATGGACGGCAAAGTTACCGTCTCTCCTTTGTTTAAATCTAAACTTTTGGTAAGATCATTGCAAATTCTCGTGCAGTTGTGAGAAACAACGTGAAAAGATCCGTTGCGCTCCTTATGCAGCTTGCCCCAATGTTAACATCTTACATAACAAAAGCACGGTATCACAACTAGGATGTTGAAATTGATAAAGTCACCTCAGACATTACTGGCTCTCCCTTTGCATATGTATATTAAGTTCAATACGTTCTCTCACTGTCGGAGGCTGTGTATCCACACGGCAGCTAAGATACTGAACATCTGCAACACAAAGATGCCTGGTGCTGACAACTGCAGCCACTCGCCTCTCTCCCGTGCGGTCCACCCTGTCTCCAACCCCTCACAACCACCAGTCCACCCAACACGTCTATGCTTTTGTCACTTCAATATGTTCTGTAAATGGAATCCAACAGCAAATAACCTTTTGGGATTGGCTTTTCCTACTCTAATGCCCTCCCTGGATCCATCCAGGTGGCTGCCTGTGGCACTAGTTTGCCCTTTTTCTTATTGCTGAGTTGTGTTCATGATGTAGAGACCGTCATTTGTTCAATGAAAGATATCAAGGGTGTTCCCAATCACAGGTGATTACAAACACAGCTGCTGGGCATGCCCACCACTCACTTTTTTAGGGGCACATGTTACCAGATATTGTCCACCCTAAAGCTCACAGTGGCAAAGACAAGAAAGCACGCTGTAAGATGCCCCCACCCCACCCCAACTTGCACAAAAGCATCTGAGAAGCAAAAGGTTTCAGGGGCAGAAGGTGAGTAAGAGGACTCTGGCCCCCAGCACTTAATGGTTTAGGCACAGCTGTCCTGAGTGCCTCTCACAGGCCTGCGAGCTGCCTGCATAGCACCTGCAGTCCAGAGACATCTGTGGTGCGATGTGCTGAAAATGGGGCTGTGGAGCGGGAACCAAGGTTCAACTCAGCTGCCAAAGCTAGGCTAAGAGGCTGCACATCTATGGGGTTCAACCTGTTGATTTTAGGGTCTTACCAAGCTAAAGGCCTCACTCCCGAGGACCTCTTCCCTTGTAGCTGTTAGTCTCGTCACTGCTTTCCTGGGTTTTGCAAACTGGGGAACAAATCTCCCAACTGAGTTCTGTGAACAAGATACAAGAACAAAGCAGCAGCAATACATATAAGAGAGGAATGAGGTCTCAGAAAGAAACCAAACAAACACCCAAACTGGTTTCTTTCTTGTAGTCTCAAACATGGCCTTTACCCTCCATCCCCAGGGCACACCAGCCCCTGTAGACCGTGAGGATGAATAGAGGCAGGAACTCCAGTGAAAGGTAGGTGGCTTCTTTAAGCACATATGAAAAGCTACAAAACAGGTTCACCTGGGAAGGAGGACAGGCAACTGGCTCCTTTTCTGGTTGCGCGAGGAGCCTGGAGGGAGCTACTGCTTCCTTATCCAGGGAGCTGGGTGGAGAAAGACAAAATGGAGGAGGTTCTGAAGTCATCCAAGGCTTTCAGTGTGCCTAGTGGGACAGGGAATGAAGTCCAGAGGCAAAGTAGTGCTCCAAGTCCCCTGGAAGGCAGGCCCTGGAGCACCTGCTGAGAGAGGGTGGGATGGAGGAGGGGAGCAGTGTCCTGGGGAACATCTCCCTCCAAGAAGGGTGCTGAGTCCCCCATCTAGAATCTAAGCTGCCTGCTCTGGCAGCACTTTACCCACATAATCCCAGGAACTGGCTCCTGAAGTAAGACCTGGAATTCTCATTTGCACTGACATTCCTGCTCCCAACTTTGGAAATTCAAAGGAAGAGAATTTGTAGATATGGAAACATAGTGTCAAAAAAACCTGGTATATTCATAATTTCCAAAATGTGGAAGCAACCAAGATGGCCTTCAGTGGGTAAATGAAGAAATAAACTGTGGTAAATCCAGACAACGGAATATTATTCAACACTCAAAAGAAATGTGCTATCAAGTCATAAAAAGACATAGAGGAAACAAATGCATATTACTAAGGAAAAAAGCCCATCTGAAAGGCCATGCACTGTATGATTCCAAATATATAGCATTCTGGAAAAGGCAAACTATGGAGACAGTAAAAAGATCAGTGGCTGCCAGACTGGGGGAGAGAGAAACAGGCAGAGCACAGTGGATTTTTAGGGCGGTGCAAACACTCTATACGATACTGTAGTGGTGAACTGTGTCATTTACATTTGTCCAGACAAATAGGATGTGTAACATGAAGAGGGAACTAAACTATGGACTCTGACTGATGACGTGCCAGTGTAGGTTCATTTTTGGTTAAAAAAAGACAATGTACCATTCTGGTGAGTGATAGTGATAATGGGCTGTGCATGTGTGAGAGCAAGGGGTATGTGGAGAATTTCTGTGTCTTCCTCTCAATTTTATCGTAAACCTAAAACTGCTCTAAAAATAAAATCTTTTTAAAAAGTTGGTGAAACTATGCTTATATTTAAATAAATTGTGGACATGTACAATGTGGAAAAAAAAACACAGACCAAAATCTGGAACCAAAATTTCACATGATTTCAACTTTGGAAGTGGAACAGGAAGAAGCATGAAGATATGCTGATGGGCTTGAATTATGCCAGGGGAGGTTCTGGACACAGAGTAAGTCCAGATACTGATAGCAAAAGCCTGTTAGAACATTTTAATTGGGATGGGTTGTTTGGCGGCTTCTGGGGTGCCAACAAGATTTCATTTCTCAACATAAATGTGTTAAGCTTGTTTGCTTTACATTTTCTGTTATATTTCTATGCACATGGTATTTTTTTTTTTTTTAAGATTTTATTTATTTATTTTTAGAGAGGGAAGGGAGGGAGATAGAGAGAGAGAAACATCAATGTGTGGTTGCTGGGGGTCATGGCCTGCAACCCAGGCATGTACCCTGACTGGGAATCAAACCTGCAACACTTTGGTTCGCAGCCTGCGCTCAAGCACATGGTATTTCTTAATAAAACATTTAAAAAAAAAAAAGAAGAGGGAACCTGCTTCTGGGCTTCTGATTCTGACTATTCTTATGGACACAGAAGGCAGAGTGGGCGGTGGCTGTAGCCCCATTAGCCCCGTTGGCCTCTCCAGGAGTACAGAGCACAGTGACATTCCTGTGTCTGGAAAAATGGCTCAGGTGTGACACGTGGTCCTCTTCATATCACACACAGAGCAGGGCTGCCTTTAATCCTAAAACTGCATTGACCAAGATCAGGAGATCAGACACATACACCCACCCCCTCCCAATCAGAAAAACTGTCAGATCACATGCCTCAATATTTTACTCAGATAATGTGGCAGTCCAATCCACGACGAACTCTCCAAAGACTTCAGGTAGCAGGAACCTTCCTTCTCCTAATTCACGCTAACCCTTCCTACTTTGCTATAGTTAGTTATATGCGGTTTAATGCCACAGACAGACTAAACTCTTCTCCAGATTTTTCTTTTTCCCCATCATGCTTAATTACTTATTTCCTGGGGAAAAAAATTAAGGGAACTAGGAAACCACAGTAGTTAGGAGAACAGGAGTGAGATACAGCCAGAACCACAGCCTGCCTTACACCAGCTCAGTAGCCTTGGGCAAGTCAATTGATCTCTAAAAGCCTTAGAGTTCTTACCTGTTAAGAAGACAAAAATCTATTTTAGAGTGCCATGAGGATTAAATGAGCTGATATGTGTAAAATGTTTATTAAGCACACTGCCTACCATATAGTTATTATTATTTTTTTTTATGGGTTACTATTCTGCAGACCTACTCCTGATACCTTTTTCATCAAGAAGGAATATAGGATAAATATGGATTTGACCAGCAGAAAGGATAAGCTACACTCTAAAGCTAAGTGATCTTGAAAAATTCAAAATTTTTCTTGCTCATGCTTATAATATTGACCTTTATTGATAGAGAGGAGAGTCCTGGGGAGAAAAGCATCAAGAAACACAATTCAAGAGACCTGAGTCCCCGGGTGGGGGAGGTGTGATAATGAATGGGCCATGTTACCCCCCTCCCCATTTGCATCCTGTTCGCTGGGTGGCTGTGCCATGCCCACTGTCACTGGGGAGGTGCTAAAGTGTTCTGAGCCACCTACCTGGAGGCCATCTGTCCTGGCTCCTCCCCACTCTGCTCTACAGAGGGAGGAGGTCCTGACCTGCCTTCTGACTCTTCAGGGTGAGGCGAAGGGCCCAACTGGAAACTGTGGCGGGCCCCTTCAGAGTCTCTGAGTCTTGTGTTCTTCGGTGGTTTCGGTGGACGGACTCCTTCTCCTAGTTTAGAGACAAAGGAAGACAAAGGGGTAGGGGATGCCCACAGCACCCTCTGCCATGGCTGACAACCAAACCTGGCAGGGCCACAGCTGCAGTGTGAGCAGGTTTGTTCCACAGGCAGGAAACCCCTGCTCTGACACTTGTCTGGAGATCAAAAGATGGGAGGAAACCTGATCCAAAAGGGACCTAGGAGCTTATGTGACCACAGGATTCAAAGGCTTTTTACCCATGGACTAGTCATGACTAAGGCTGAATCCTGAGGTGACCTGCCTTGGCTCCAAACCACAGAAGACAACTGGACCCAGCTGACTTTTTCTGGGCAAGTGGTGAGAGGTGTGTACTGGCTCCGCTGGGTCTTGGCTCAAACATCCCTGCAGAGGGGCCATTCCCTGACTTTTCTATAGACATCCCCTTTCAGGCCCATGCTGTTCTGTTCACTTCAAGGCTTCTCTCAAGTATCGATGTACTGGGTTATTTCTGTCTTTCCCACTACAACTTGCTCCATGCAAAGAGGGGCCTCATCTAATCACATTCTGCTGGAGCTCAAGTGCCTAGAAGAGCATCTGGTACAGTGTCGGTGATCAATAAATACTTGGTAGGTGACTGAATAAACATGGAGAAAATGCATATCACTTCCCAGGAAATGCAAGTACTACTAATTATGTACCGCTCTAGTTTTCCGTGATGCCTGAAGAATAAAGCTTGGACCCTGTGGAATTAAGTGCTAAGCAAGGGATGTCTCAGCTGCCACTTAGTTCTTTGTATCTCTGTAGTACTTTTCCCACCACTGAGGACAATTTAGAGCCCCAAAGCTCTTATTAACACCTTGTTGGATTAAGGAAACTCCCTTACACAGAAATTGCCAACAGTGGCTGGCTTGTGAAACCTCCCCAAATCTAGCCCCAACTGAATCATTTATTCAATGAATAGTAAGTTTTGACTCTAGTGAGCTCCATGCCAGACACTGTCCTCAGAACTTGGGTGTGTTATGATAAAACTTGAAGGTAGGGTCCTGTTGTTACACCTGTTCTACACATGAGAAAGCTGAGGCACGTGTGGCCCAGGAATCCAGAGTGAGATCTAGGCATCCAACTCCAAAGTCTTCACACTTAAGTGTGCTTCAGCATCTAGTGAGTCCCTACTATGTACTGTGCTTCTGAGCAGGCAGCGAAGACAAAAAGACAAACCAGACCCAGGCCTGACCTTCCTGGAGATTAGTCACATAGACCCTTTCCAACCTCAGCTCCTTAAGCACCTTGAAATAAACCCATTGAATAAGCACCCCAACTTTCCCAGTGCCGATTACTATGGTCCTCTACATTCACCCAATGGTTTGCACTCCACTAGACCACAGCAACTTTCCTGTAATTTCTTCTAATTCTGTGAGTTATGGTTCATGTGTGCCCATTCCGAACTATAACCCACTGCTGTGTATTTGGTTAGCTCTCTCTAAGATAAGCATTTTTCTGTTTTCCTTGACTTGACCCTGAGGCTGTCCAGGGGAGGAACTATATCTGCTGCACCCTTTGATCTCATTCTTGCCCTGCCTCCCACCTCTCTCTCAGGTGCCCACCCCCACACTGCACCCAGAGCAAGGTTCCAATGAGTTTCTTACACAAACATATTTCTAAACCTTGTGGTATGCCAGAAAACACAAAATACAGCAGCTTCATTTATTTGGTTTCTTAAGATGCCAAAACACTAGCTTGCTTTGCTGATCCAATGAACATTTATACCAAATAAAAAGCAAAACTATCAACAAAAGTGAATAGCCTCCTATTTCCTTCCTGTGATCTGTCCCCACAGGACTAATTCAAGAAAAACTAAGGCAAAAACTTGTTTTCAACACCAAAGGCCAAAAAGATCTTGGGAGGGAAAGGACTTTTTTCACCACCTGCCAGAACTGTCTTCCTCTCCTCCCACTCTGTCCAAGACACACAGAAACAGCTGTCCTGGGGCAGCCCTGGAGTTCAATAGGCTGAGGAGTCCATGGCCAAGAGAGGCCCCAAATGACTTGCTGTGGGTGGGCCTGGCTGTCCCCAGATTCCCCCTCCAAGGTCACAGAAATTCTCATGTCTCCAAGCAGCCTGTTGCTTATCTCCACACAAAATATTTTCAATCTGTTGAGTTTTTCAGTTGCCCATTTTTGGGGAAAAATGAGTACTACTGCCTAAGTTCATTAAGCAGTGAGTAAAATAACTTCTAAACTTTTAAGGAGTTTGAGATACCCTAGACATTAGACAGGGAAATGGAGCTATACTATGTAAAACTGGGTGTTTTTTTTAAAAATGTATTTTAATTTTTATTTTTGAGAGTGGGGAAAGGAGAAAAAAAAGAGTGGGAGAGAAACATCAATTGGTTGCCCTTCATATGTGCCCTACCCAGTGACCAAACCTGAAACCTAGGCATGTGCCCTGACCAGGAATTGAACGACACCCAACCAACTGAGCCACACCACCCAGGGGTGTTTTTCTCTGTGAAAGAGGAAATTCTATACACATATGGACAAGTAAAGATGATCTCAACATACCACGAAGTGAAAAATGAAGGATGCATATCAATGTGTAATGATTCTATTTTCCAATAAAAACACTCTATATTTCAATAAAACACTCATAAACAGTTTGGAAGAAGTAGTGTAGTCAGGTTTGTTTCCTGTTTTGTGTGTGTGTGTGTGTGTGTGTGTGTGTGTGTTTAATGCTGTGCTGTATGATTGATCCCGGTCCTCTGGTTTTGCTGGATGTTAACAGTAAAGGAATCTGGGGGAAGGTATATAGAAGTCTGAACTACTTTTGTAACTTTTGTGTAAGCCCAAAATTATTTCAAAAGAAGTCTTTTAAAAGTCTGGAAAGATAATCATAACAGCAGCCTATATCTGTGCATTACCTAGGGTCTCTTCTTTGTGCTTCTCAACTACTAATCCACATCTGAGCTCTAGGGCATGGTTCTCAACCTAGACACTACTGACATCTGAGGTACTGTGGACATTTGCGGTTGGATATTCTGTGTTGTGAGGGCTGTCTTGTGCATTCTATGACTTTGAGCAGCATCCTGGCCTAGACCCACTAAACACCAGTACCACCCCTCCCACACACACCGATTGCGAAGACCAAAAATGACTCTAGACATTGTCAAATATCCTCTGGAGGGAAAATTCCTCCCCCAACCAAACTGAGAATGGCTGTTCTAAAACAAAAAGGGGGGGGGGGTTGCTTTTCTTATCGCCTATTTGCAGAAGGGGGAAAGTGAAGCACAGAGTAAGTCACCTGCCAATCACACAGTGGGCAGCCGAATTGGGAGGAACCCAGGTTTTTGGTTTGAGAGTGAAGCACTTAGCTATGTACCAGATGGCCTTGCAACATGTCAAGCTCTATTCAGGAGTGGTTGCTGAGAGTGGGCCTGCATGGAGGTTGCACCTCTGCCCCGAAGCTTGGGGCCATCCCTCAGCTATGGACCCTGCCAGAGGCTGGAGGAAGCTCCACAAAGCTTTCACTTTCTACTGTATGCACTCCTCCAGAATTTATACCTTTCTTACTAGTGGGAATTAAATAATTTTTTAAAAGGAGCTTCGTGTGATGATGTTAACACTTTTGCAATAAATAACCCAAATTCCTCCTAAGAGCAGAAATGGCAATAAAAAGATCAACGTGAATGTCCAAATACCTGAAGTCCGAAGCCTCTTCCTCTTACTCATTTTATCCCTCCCTTGAGAAATCTGAAAACAAGCAAAATCCCATCATTACAAGCAATCACTGTTGCCTGGGTACAGACTCAGTGACATTGACTGAGGTCAGAAGCCACCCCACCTCCCACCCTTGGACCATGTGGCTGCCCCAAGGGGTCAGTTAGGCCCCAAGAGGACACAGGGTGGGAGTCACAGCAACTTTGGGCCACTGGCTGGGTAAGAACTCAAACCTCCTCCATGTTGCAGAGGGCAGAGAAGGAATTGCCCATTTTCTGCCCAGGGTCTGAGAGCACATGGGTAGGGGTGAGGACAGGGGTGTCCTCAGTGGGAAGTCTTAGGGACTTTGGCTCTCGTACCCAAGTTGGGACAGCCTGTGCAAAACTCCTCCCTCTAGGCTGGGGTCTCTGGGAACCTTCTAGAGACACCTGAGGGCATCGGAGGGCTTTTAGAGGGGCCGCCTGGGGTGCTTCAAGGTGTGGGAAGCTTTATGGAGGCGCCTGGGGCCTTGAAGGAACAGGAGTTGCCCCAGGGCAATTCCTTCCAGCCTTGGGGGCCAAACAAGCACACACTGACCTGAGCCAGAGAAGTTGTTGAGGTCTCTGTCCTTACCAGGAACTAGGTAGGTGAGCCCGGACTTGTTGTGGGACAGCTAGGTTAAATTATCTGCGTAAAATATTTTGGAGGAAATGAAGGTAAGTAGACCCCTCTCAGAGGCCGGGCAGCCCCAGGGTCTGGAGCTGAAAGGCCAGGAGGCGTGAGGCTCGAAGATTACGGACTGGCTTCCGGTAACTAGGCCCACATTAACCGTATCGCGGCCACCGAAACGCGAAGACTGCCCAGACCTGAACCCCACGCTGGATAGAGTGAACCTGGTAGTCACTGCGGCCCCTCTCCTCGTGCTCACCCTGCCTCTTTCCCGCGCTCTGCGAGTCGCAGTCGCGCGCGTGCGCGACGCCAGCTTTGCCGCTCACACTCACACAGGGTCCGCCTCTCGCCGCGACAAGGACCGCACGACCCACCACCTGGAGGCGCGCGTGCGCACTTGCGCAATGCCTGCCGGGAATTGTAGTTTCAGTGTAATGGGCACGGCAAGTCCAGTGGCAGCTCTCCGGTGCCGCGGCGCCCAAGGGACGAGGCGGAAGTAGGGCGGCCGTCCGGGAGACCGAGAACGCTGGGTCTGCGGTCTCAGGGCGCGGGCGACGGGCGCGGGGCTCAGGAAAGGCGCGTGCGCGGCGATAGGCCCCGGGGGAGGAGGCAGGGCAAGGCCAGGCTAGGGGGCTGTGGTCGGATTATCTAGCCTGGAAGATGCACAAGAGGAAAGGAACCCCGGGACCCCCGGGCCGAGGCGCCGCCGCCGCCGCCCGCCAGGTGAGTCAGTATCCTGTGGTCCCACCAAGGCCACCCTCCCTACCTACCCCTCAGGGGAACCCGATCTCCACCCCCAGGTGAGCCCCGGTCCCCGCCCCTAAAGTGAGGTTTGACCCCCTTAAATGCGGCCTACTCTGTCTGGCACCCCAGCTGCTGGCGCCCCGCCCTAGGCTCAGGGCCACCTGTTGCTGCAGCAGCTCCAGTCGGTGAGGGGAAGGCCTCGACCTGGGATAAGGACAGGTACTGCTACCCTGGCCTGAGCTCTTTGAACCGCCGCATCAGCCCGGCCAGGTCAGACTGTTTTTACCCCCATTGTAAAGATGGCACTGAGGCCGAGAAAGGTGAAGACACCTGCCCATGGTCATGGGAATTAACAGCTTGGCCAGAGCTAAGGGCAAATCCAGAGGTGCTCCTATTAGCCCACAGGACTGTGGCTGGGTCCCTTCTCCCTCTCCCCCATATCTTCTCTTCCGCGCACCAGAAGAGTGATTTTTCTCAGCTTTGATGGAAGGAGCCCAGGCCATTGCTTAGTACCAGGTGTTAGAGTCTGGCCAACCTGAAGGTCCCACTTGGCCTCTGTACATTGGATACTCGGCCTCACAGCTCCCAAACACAGTTTCCTCACTGTAAAATGGAGGCCCTAAGAGTCCCTGTGTCATAGGACAATTATGAAGATTCATTGGGATAGTTTATGGATAGTGCTAGAACATAGCACTCGGTAAGTGTTACTATCATTGTTACCATTAGAAGGAGTCATATGTAATTGGTAATATTGGCCCATTTTTGATCCACAGAAAGGGCAATTTTGTATAGTGCAACCTAACATTATCATGTCATGATGGGTCATTAACCAGGATAGGATAGATAGGAAGACAATCTGTTACACAGCAAAAACCCCATTTTCAACGTCATGTTATTGTCAGGGCTTCTGTTTACTTTTGACACCTCCGACCTCCCTGCACATCCTCCTCTGTTGAGGATGCTGAAAGGAAAAGCCCAGGCGTACGGAATGGCAGTGCCTTAGGGAGGGTGTGGGGCCTGCTTTCCCCACTGCTCTCTGCTAGCAGCGCATCATGGGTACAGACTCAGAGCAAGAAACTGGGTCTCTCCACCAGCCCTTTGCCTCATGTTGATCTATGCCAAAGGGCCTGGCCAATCTTGGGACACCTGTTACATTCTGGGCCCGTTCCAGACTTCTGGCACTCCCCAGGGAAATGGCCTTGCCAGGAGGCCTGGATTCTCTTCCTTCCGAGGGTACTCTGAGTCCATTATGGCTGCCTCTGGCTAGGTGAGGAGCATCCCAATGTCTGACTGAACTCTTGCTATTCCCGCAGCTGGGCCTGCTGGTTGATCTCTCCCCAGATGGCCTGATGATGCCCGAGGATGGAGTTAACAATGAGGAACTAGAGGCTGAGTTCTTGGCTTTGGTTGGGGGCCCACCCCAAGCCCTGGAGAAGCTCAAAGGCAAAGGTGAGACTCTCAACCCACCCGTGGAACATTTCCTGAGCTCCTGCTATGGGCCAGGCTCAGAGCTGGGTGCTAGGAAGACAGAGGAAAGGAGACAGGAAAGGTCTCTGCCCTCCTTAAACCCACAGTCTGGGTTAAAGGTTAAATGATCAACTCTGGGCCCAGAGTGAGTGTTTGAATCCCAACTCTGCCACATACTGGCTGTGACTTAATACATCCCACCACCTATTTGGGCCTGTTTCCCCATCTATAAAGTGGGAATAAAACACACTTACGTCACCAGAGTTAATCGTCTAGTGTTCTTAAAGGACTTCACACTGGACCTGGTGAGTCGTGTAGCCCACTGATCAGGGCTGGGATGGGGTTAGCACAGGACAATGGGAGAGACCTGTGATCTGGGAAGAATTCATGGGGGAGGTACCCATGATGGGTAGGGCCACATGAAGATTTGGGGAGTACTTCTGGGAGGGGTCACAGCACATGCAAAAGCTCTGAGATGGCAGTAGACAGAGGATTCCAAAGTGGTCAAGTGGGGCTGGAGCCCAGAGGGCAAACGTAGCCTTTACACTCTTTAGCTAATACAGTTGATCCTCATTATCACAAATTTTGTATTTATGAATTCACCTACTGGCCAAAATTTATTTGTAACCCCAAATCAATACATGCAGCTCTTTTGCAGTCATTCTTGGACATGCACAGAGCCACAAAAAGTTTGAGTAACCCAACCTGCCCAGCATCCCACAGTGAGGAAGTTGCAGAGCCAGAGTTTGAACGCAGGCTTTATAAGGAAGGGATAAGGCCGATGAGGTCAGCTGGGGAGCAGGATCATGCCTGCCACCATATTCTTTGGGGCTGTGAGTGACCAGAATGGGAGACTGGGGACTCTCGAAGGATCCTGGTCCAGCTGGCACCTCCTCCTGCTGCCAGGTCCCCTGCCTATGGAGGCCATTGAGAAGATGGCCAGCTTGTGCATGAGAGACCCAGATGAGGAGGAGGGGACAGATGATGAGGATGTAGAAGCTGATGATGATCTGCTGGTGAGTGTCCAGGTGGAGCAGAGGGCCTCCCCTCCCATTGTTTCCCCATCTGTCAGGCCCTCATGCAGCCTCCCGGCCTTGTGTCCCTGCAGGCGGAACTAAATGAGGTCCTTGGGGAGGAGCAGAAGACGTTGGAGTCCCACCCTCCAGTGGCCCAGGTATATGTCCAACAACCCTGTTTCCTATAGCTCAGGGTTCAAGGCCTTCCCTTGACCTCAGGCAGGTGATGGGACACTTCTGAGCCCAAGTTGTCTGTACTAGGGGATGGGATGATAATTTCTGACCTTCCAAGGGGGGTGAGCAACTGGCCCAGGAGTGACTTGCCAGGTGAGCAGTAGGCCCTCAACCAAGGACACCTGCAGAGTGGGCTGAGTTGGGTCATCACCTACCCACACCATGCCCTGGGCGGGCCCTTCCCACAGCTGAAAGCTACAGCCCCCAGCCCAGGAGTGGAGGCCACCTTGCAGGAGAGGCTGGCCCTCTACCAGACAGCAATTGAAAGTGCTAGGCAAACTGGAGACAGTGCCAAGATGCGGCGCTACGACCGAGGACTTAAGGTGAGTGGGCAGACGGGAGAGTGCTGGGACCCTACCACTGCCCCTGCACTCAGCTCCGGGCTCTTTCAAAACCCATATTTCCACCTTCTCCCAGACACTGGAAAACCTGCTGGCCTCCGTCCAGAAGGGCAATGCCATCGACGAAGAGGACATCCCACCACCAGTTGCCGTGGGGAAAGGCCCAATGTCTACATCCAGCCACACATCTGCACCCACCCTGCCAGCTTCTATGAACCCACCAGCCCCAGAACCCAGGGTCACAGTGGAAGGTCCTCCTTCTACTGCCCCAGCCTCGTCACTGGGCCTGGCTAAGCCCCAGCTGCCCTCAGGTAGGCCAAGTGCAGGGTTGCTGACATGGGATGTCGGAGGATGTGTTCAGTGGTTGGCCCTTCTGTGAGGGGGAAGGCCCTGTACTGATTGGGAGATATTTTAAATACCCCTTCCTTTCCCAGGTCTGCATGCCCCTGGAGTTCATGAATACCTTTGTTTTGTGATGGTAAAATATATAACATAACATGTGCCATTTTAACCATTTTTCAGTATACGATTGAGTAGCATGTAGTTCACTCACAGTGTTGTGCAACCACCACCTCTATTTCCCAAACTTCACCCCAAATGGAAAGTCTGTCCCCATTAAACACTAACTCCCCACCCCTCCCCTAGCTCTTAGTAACCTCTATTCTATTTTCTGTCTTAATGAATTTGCATCTCCTAGATATTTCATGTAAGTAGAACCATACACTATTTGTCCTTTTCTGTCTGGCTTCCTTCACTTAGGATAACATTGCAGCCTGTATTAGTACTTGATTCTTTTTTAGGGCTGAGGAAATTCCCACATGTAGAGTTTTAAGTGAAAAATTTTCAAGCACTCAGCTTGTCTGTCTTTTCTCCTAAAACTCACCTGGCTGGAGGACACACCTACCTAGAGGTTTTCCTTCCCAGCCTTCCCCTCTTGGGTCTCTCCTTCACTACAGGAAAGGAGTACCCGCTCCCTCCCCTCTAGAATTTGAACTCTGGGCTCTGCTCCAGGGGCAAATGGGAACCAATGAGATGACATAAAAGGCTGGCCTGGGGTTGAGAGTGTAGACACTGGGTCTCTAAATCCTTCTGTGGCTGGCTGGTCTCTAGGTCATTGTTTTTGGCAAAGTACAAGGAAGACTGTTGGAAATTGTCACCTGAAATTCTTGGCCGAAACCACCCCCAAATTTTCATGATTAGATTTTTGGCATATAGCTCAGCAGGGGTTTGGAGAATCGACTCTCTGTCTTCCCATCTATTTGTTGGTGTGAAGCACTTTAAAAAAGGAAAAAAGAAAGCAGAAAAGGAATGAATGGGAATCAGGAGCTAAATGTTAGGAGGTGGACTCAGCCTTTACTATGTCAGCAAGAGGTACCTTGCCAATAAAATTTTACTATTGGTGTGTAAAAGGTATTTATTAGAAAGTTTGAGATATTTATGTCATACTCAATTATGTGATAAGTATAATTGTAACAGTTGTTCAACCCCAAAAGAAATATTTTTTAACGCAGAAATGTGATAATAAGTTAATCAAATATCAAGGTGTTTAGTCTCTACCTATAGATACCTT